CCCCAACTCTCCAGGGTAGGTGGGTCTATGATCGTTGGTATTGTCCGAGCTTTCCTCGAGCATTCTTCGACCATTCCTCGAGCAAGGTCTTCAAAGGTGTTTCAATACACGTCTTTTTTTATTTTTATTTTTTTAACTATCTGTAAGCCTAGCTACCCAGGGGTAATTTTCTGTCCGCCTTTTTTTTTTTTAATCTGTAAGCCTAGCCACCTAGGGGCCAGGGTTCTTTTTGTTTTTTTTTAAATCCGAGGTTGTTGTAGAGGCTGGATTCCAGACATAAGACTACCTGCCCAGGTTTTTTGCGAAGTCTGTCGGGTGTCTGGGGGTCGATAGGGGTAAGAAACTCAGATGTAGATAAATATTAAATTGAAGCTATCGCTAGCCATGGGTCTAGCTCAGTTATTACACCCCTGTACTGTTGAAATGCAGACATGAGTTCAAATCCCGATGTAATACTTCTGAAGCATCTGGGCCTGTTAGTTGAACTATGATATCTCAAAGCTGACGCCTCCCTTTAAAAAGACTCTATTGTGATGATCCCCAGAGGTTTTGGGGGAGGGAGGGAGGGATTGAAGGTGTTTTTTTTTTTTCCAACAGCATTTATGAATAGACAGCAGGGGTCAATTTCATTTTTAAGCCTGGCTCCCCCAGGGTTTTTGTAAAGTCAGTCAATGACATGTGTTTGTTTGCTTGTTTGTTTGTTTGTTTGTTTGTTTGTTTGTTTGTTTGTTTATTTGTTTGTTTGTTTGTTTGTTTGTTTTATATTGCTTTGATCTATTCGTGGGGAGTGGCATGTGCTGGGAACCGGGCCCAGCGTCCCTTTTGAATTAATGTATATCTTTGAAACCTGCAATGATCAGGACATAAACCACTTGTGCTGGAAACCGGGTCCAGCGTTCCATATCAAACTGTCCTCATGTTCCTGCCTCGTGGCCTGGTCGGGTTGTCAGAAGGAGAGCTGCCGGGGGGCACCACCGGGGTCTCCTTCCATCCTCTTGGCCTATTTTTAAGCTGTCCCTATGTGAAACCATGTTGAACCATGTTGAAACAGTTGAAACAGTCAAAACGGTTAAAACAGTTTGGAGACAGTTTTTTCCCCTAGTGGGGCACTTCCACAAGTGATAACAGGTGGCGGGGAAAGGGGTCCGGGAAATCCGTCGCCGGTCTTAGAGGGATGCCAGGGTCTATTGCAGTCCAGTCCCGGAAGGACGGTTTGTCGTCTCTGGGCACCTCTGCCCCTGCCTCCCCTCCCTCTCCATGGAGGTTATCCCCTGACCATAACCAAGACATGTCTGCCATCCATCCCCCCCTTCTTCCTCCAAACCATTCCTCGCAGAAACGTGTGATTATTTTAGCAATGTCTTTTCTGGTAGCTCGTTCGCTGTCTGGACACCTGCTACTGGTTGGTGATCTCTGCTTGCACCAGTTGCTTGCCCACCTCAGTTACCTCTTCCTCCTCCACCCGTGCGCCCTCGATTTCCAAGATGCATCCTTTCCACCATATCACCCAAAGGGTGGCTCGTCTGCCCATCTGGAAGAGGTTTCTCGTCAGCGGGTCGTTCGGGCACTGTGGCCAGTGGCCTGTTAGTAGCGCCCTCCAGTCCCATGGCCAGCCCGTGCCGGGGACCATCTGCCGCCATATCATGTCCCCACCATCGCCACAATAATACTGACGAAGGGCACTGCAGAAAGAGGTGCTCAATTGTTTCGATCCTCTTTCGCGAAGGATAGCTCCACAGACATTTTGTGCACCAGGGCAGCGCCCGTCCCTGTTCCTCCAATCTGGTGTGATCGATCCATTTTCGGGAGGCATCGGTGGGCCACCTGCCACTGAAGTGATGAGATCTTTGCCGGGTGCAGTTTCGATTCGTGAAACCACTGGATGGGACGCAGGGTGATTTGATCCACGTTGAGGTGACAGTGCCATCTGTCGAAGATCATGTTACGCAGTTCTCTTTTGGGTCTCAGTATACGGTAGGCTGTTTTGACCTTCATGTTCGGAAAGCTCATGGGTCGTTGTGCAGTCCGTGCTCTCCTTCCCCTTCCCTCCCCCAAGTTCCACTGCCATTCCCCGGGGTCGATGGTCAGGTCTGGTATTGGTGTCAACGGCCGAAAGGCCCTTCGTTCCCCCTCGATCAGCATGACCCTGATACGAAAAACCTCCACTTTGCGGACCCAGAAACATGGCTGCCTACTCCCTATCAGGACATCCTCCCTCCCCAACGTATATCCTTGACCAATACCTCGTTGTCACGCACCATATGCACCATTCCAACTGAATCTGGGTCCCCACGGAGCCCCACCAAGTCTGCTTCCTTCAGTACCCGGCCCCTTTTTAAAATGGGGTACCATGCCAAAGCGAAGCTTTCAATCAATTCTCCCAAAACTTCTTCTGTACGATGGCAGTACCTCAGCCATTGCCTCATCCTATCTGCACTCTTCCATTCCCCATCCTTTGCATCCCACAGGTCCACCACCCGTAGTTCCCCATGCTTGATCCACCCTTTCCATGGGGAGTCTGAGCTGCGCCTGACCTGGCCGTGGCTGTCTGTGATCCATCTATTCCCGAACAGCGGCTGCCTCGAGATCTCCTCCCACCGATCAGGGGGCAGCCTGTCCGGGATTGGCGGTTTCCTCCATGTGTTAATTAGGCGCACCCAGAATTCCTCTGCGACTCCACCATCCCTATACAGCCTGGGGATTTTCCAATACCTGTCCTCAATCCAGATCATGGGGTCTATCTCTGGGGGAGCCTCAGGGGCTAGAGCTGCGATCTGCATCAGTGCCAGTGGGTGCCAAGGAGAATTGGGGTTATAAATCAGTCTTTACCCAGCGGAAGCTAAGCGCCTGGACCTGCGTTGCTGGGTCAATGATACCCAGCCCTCCTTTCGTTTTGGGCTGGATTACCGAGTCCCATGCCACCCTGCTAATCGTATGGTGGGACTCACTGTTCCCCCTCCAAAGGAAGGCTGTGATTTGTCTCTTCAAGGTGAGAGAGCCCGTTTTGCTCTGGGGGCACAGGATTGACTTGTACCACAAAGAGGCCAAGACTGCATTATTGATGACCAGCACGCGTCCAAAAATCGAGGTGTGTTTCCCATTCCAATGGAGTAATTTGGACCTCACTGGGGCAGTTATACAGGCATCACTGGACTCGGTCTTACCTTTTGCTGATAGGAGTGCAGCCAGGACCCGCAGCGGGGCGTCGGGGGTAGCCATGTGATCTGCGGTCTTTCAGGCGGCCTGCCACCCTGATGACAAAGCCACCATCCCACCCTTTTTTTGCCCTAATTCACCGTCATATCTGATAAATAGCAAAACCTGTCCATCAAGGCCTGTTTGGGTCGATAAAGAGAACAAAACCCAAATGTAGGTGACTAACAACTATTGTTACGGTCCCCATTGGAAAGCACTCATAAGGACCCATCAACGATTGCAATCCCTCAATCCTGGCGGCTCTCCTATCGCTCCGGAATTGCAGGTTTTTTTTTTTTTTTTTTTTTTTTTTTCTTTCTTTTTTTCCGCCGGCACTCTGCACTGTGTGTCCCGCTGGACATTTGCCTTCTTTTTCTCTTTTTTTTCCTTTTTTTGCTGGACGTTTTCTCCTATTTGCATGACACACTTTTTTTTTTGTTTTGTTTTTTGATGGACATAAGGTCCATGACCCCTATGGATTATTGAAGGAAAAAAAAAAAAAAACATTTGGAAAGCCAAGCATTTCTCAAGCAGTCGCCCCGGTGAGAGCTCCTTTTTTTGGTTCTGTGTTCTGGGTGCTGTCATTTCCCTTGGACAAGGGA